GCCAGCAGCCGCAGTGAGTGGCTGTCCAGAAGCCGGTGACTGATCTGCCTCAACCGGGAAGAGCGCAATGATGGTGCCAACTTGGACCAGTGAAGCAACGTCCTCCACAACTAGATTGAAGAACAAAATGACAGCAACTTGTCTTTTCCCCTTCCCCCAATTCCTCAGCACTGTTCCCATCCCCCCAATTCCCCAATAAAAAATCTTAAAAACAAACAAAAAAGATAAACCCTGAAATCTCAGTGACTTAGTACAACATGAGTGTATTTTTTGCACATGAGAAGTCTGATGTGGGTGAGCAGTGTCTAACTTCCATTTGGTGATGCCAGGGTCTGGAATACCTCTGTCACATGCACTGCCATTTCAACATGTGGCCTCCCAGGCTTCTGTGGCAGGAAGAAAGGGGTAAAAGTGGCTCATGGATTCTAGTTGCCTCAACCCAGGAGTGATGATACCCTTCTGCTCACAGCCCATTGGATAAGGCGTCATATGACTCCACCCCAACTGTGAGGGAGGCTGGAAAATTATAGGGAAGCACGTGGACCATCTCTACCACAGCATCCTACTGAGTGAAAGCCATGTGTGTTGGGGGGAATTTGGGGAGCAGCACATAGACTTAAGGATAAAGCCACAATGGCTGGCATGGACTCACAATAAAGCCCCAGTGACTATTTCTTTGGTTTCTTGCTTTTGATTTTTTTGTGATAGGAGAGTGAATGGAGGAAGGAACAAGTGGTCTGCAAGATTCAGCTTTGAATCCTTTCTGGTCCTGGAGTACTAGAGCTAAAAATACTATTTATCAAGGGTCTACTTGGTACCAGGCACTGTGCTATGACTGTACATATATCACTCCATCTCATTTAATTCTTAGGAAAACTCTGAGGAAGGCATAGGGATACCCATGCCCATATTACAGATGAGAAGACCGAGGCTCAAACTGGTTTAACCATTTTTCTAGGACTGAAGCCAATGCCTAGACTCTTTCCATCATGCTACATTGGCATGATCATTCACAGAGGCAGAAGGAAAATATCTTAAATGGCCGGGAGAATGGGTTTCTCACTCTTCAAGTAGTCCTATATCTGAGGCTGTAAAAACATCCCCACATCAATCAAGTTTGAAAGCAAGAGAGTGAGATATATCCTTGAGCAAGCACTTCATTTATACATATTCAACTGCAACTCAGTTTTCCTCAACTGCAAATGGACATGACAGCCAGTCTCCTGGGGTGGTCACAGGGGCCAGTGAGAAAATGTCTGTTGGTGTTGAACACTCAGGAAGTGCTGCATACGTGGTCCATATTACCCCTGTTAAGGCACCCACCTTTGGAGGGGGGGTCTATGAGCAGAGGGAATCTTGCTAGGGCCCCACTTGCCCTGATGGCAATATGGGATATTTAAAGAATTTCCGGAAGAGGGCAGCCCAGTGGGGTGTAATGTCAAGGCTAGAGGGAAGGGCAGCCCTAAATGCTTCATGCACCTCAGGGCAAGCCCTGTGTTGTCTTCCTCATCTGAAAATGAAAATGAGACAAATCTGAACATCCATCAAATGCTCAATATTTTAGAGGACTTTGGGGAGTATTGATAGAGATGATGTATGTGAATGCACCTTATAAACCCAAGTCTTCCTCCAAATCTGCCCCATCTGAACTATTAACTCACTGAGGAGATGAGCTGGGGCTCAGACCCACTCCTGGCCCCATCCTCCCTCTACCCAAAAGCTGTTTGCAGAAAAGCTGAATAGCCCATCCATCCACCAAACAGATGGCCGTCTATGTAATTCAGAGCCTAAGGCCTGAGGAAATTTTGGAGTTTGGTTTAAGTCAGAGATTGCAAACTGGCCATGAGTGGGCCAAATTCAGTCTCAGACAAGTTATTTAATCATTCTGTACCTTGGCTTCCTCATTAGGAAAATGGGCATAATAATGGTAATACCTAGAAGGATTGTCATAAGGATTAAAAGAATTAAATATATGTAAAGTCCTTTGGACAGTGCCTGACATATATATAAGTGTTGAGTATGTGTTATTGTTGTTGTTATTATTATTATTATCTGATTCACACAATGTTGAGGTTTTTGGATTTAAGTGTCTTCAGAGGACCTCTTCAGTTTGCCCCAGTCCCCACCACTCCCTCTTGTCCTGCATGCACCCAGACTGCCTCCCTGCCCAGCCCCAGAAGGCCCCTGGTTTGGGTCCCCAACCATAGCCTGGTTCTTAGTCTTCATTGTGCCTGGCAGATGACACAGACTGTTGACTCCTGCCACAGGCCGTTGTTGAATACAAACTTGAGCCAAATCAGCTCTCTCACCAAACCAGGCAAACTCAAGGCAGTGTCCTGAGCTGGCCCCTCAGGACCATGGCTATACCTCAGCTAGTTGTGTCTTCCAGCAAACCTTTCTTCTTCTCCAGGCCTGTTTTCCCAGGCATCAAATGGGCTCCAGAGTCCCTGTCTACCTCCCAAGCTTGTTCTGAGATGGGGGTGGTGGAGAGGGCTTTTAATCTCCCAGGGTTCCCTGATTCCCTTCTCAGCAGAGCTGAAGAGCTCTAGGCCTGTCCCCGGTTAATGCTGAAAAGAGAAACCCCATACCAGCTGAGACAGAACTGCCACCACAGAGGTCCAAGATTATCTAGATGCATTTTTTATTATCATTAGGATGACATCATTGACAAGGGGGAGGGGCCTAGTGGACTATATACAAAGCCACCACTTCCAGGGCAATATTTACAAATCCCCACACACATTTATCCGCAGCCACCACACAGCACAGCACCACAGGGGGTCTCCACCTAAAATGCTTCCTTCCCCCAAGCAGAACACAGCTGTGGGTCAGGTGCTGCCCACCCACACACACAAAAAAAATCCAAGAAGGAGAAGTGATCCTGGGGGTAAAGTTTGCATGTGACGAATCCTGACACACGGGGCAGGGGATGGAAGCTGGATTTGGGCATCACAGCTTCAGTCCCACCCCACCTTCACTGGCTGCTTGCCCCAGAGGCACTCTGCCCCTCTTTGGGGACTCCCTAGAAGACACAGAAGGTCATCTTAGCCAGGGCTAAGAAGGCGGGGAGCAGGACAGTTGGGTTAGGGAGGGACTCTGGGATTTGCCCCTTGCCAGCGAGCAAAGTGGAGTAATATGGGGTCTTAACTCATAGGCTGGCTTTCTTATGTCCCTGAAGGAGTAGGGCAAGGCCAGGGGTTTTGGTGTGTGCATATAGGGGGGGGGGTCTCAGCTTTATGATCAGAGGTCTAAGGAAGAGAGAAAGAGGGGGTCAGAAAGCGGTAGGACACACAAGCCTCAAGACATGTATAGACCCCAAACTCGACTTTACAGGAAACTGGGCTCACTCCTCCAGCGGCTCCCTGGCCCAGGCGGCCCGTCGCCCAGGATGCTGCCGCTTCTCAGTCCCCTGGCTCCTGCTCAGGTCATCCAGGAGCCCCAGCAGGACGCTGGCTTGACCACAGTCTCCCTGGAGCCCACATGGGCCTCCCAGGGCCCTCTTGCCAGGGTGCTGGCGTTTCTCAGGCATCAGCTCTCCTTCGTCCTCCTCCTCTCCCTCCTCCTCCTCCTCCCAGCTCCTTTGGGTCTTGGGATCCACCAGCCGTCTGCCTGGGTGCTGCCTCTTGGTGAAAGTGTACCCAAGCCAGGAGGAGCGCCGGCCAGGGTGCTGCCGCTTCTGCTGGGTCACATCGACTGACCACACAGGTGCATCCTCCCGACGACCTGGGTGCTGCCGTTTGTGGGGTCCCACAGCCCCTCCTTCTTCCTCCTCTTCTTCAACTTCCTCTTCTGCCTCCTCCTCCCTTTTGCCTGGATGCTGACGCTTAGAGAGCCAGTCAGGTTGAAAGATCTGGGACTCTGAGGAAGGAAAGAGGCCAGTGAGGGACCCCATGACCCCTGAGTGCCCACTCCAGCCTTCCTCTCAGTCAAGGCAGATTCCTTGCAGCACTCACCCAGAGTCATGACAGTCTGTCTGCCTTTCAGGACTCACAGACACACACACGCACACAGATAATCAAAGGTATGACTTCTGGTTCCAATCCCAGCTCTACCCCTCCCTAGCTGTGTGACCATAAGCAACTCACTTAACCTCTCTGAGCCTCAGTTTTCTTTTGTGTAAAATGAAGAATACTAACAGTACCTATCTGAAAGGTTGTTAGGAATATCAAATAGTTTGATAAGGTGTTAAAGTGCTTAGAACAGTGAGTGCCTGGCTTACATGCGTCTAGTAAGTTATAATTAAAACTGTCATACTCAAAGAGACTCTCTCTCCCGCACAGAATCTTCCCCACTGAAGATCTGTTCTCTGCGAAATATTCCCAGGACTGAGAGGAAGGAATCTGATCCTAGGGTCAATTTAAGAGGGTGTGGCCAATGAGAGTTTCTGAACTTGTGAAAGGCAAGCGACTGATTTAACAAGTGGACCTCTTTCTGCGTCTGGGTTTCCCCCAGCCTTCTCTGCAGCCTCCTCACCAGGACAATCCGGGACAGCCCGGGCCCCTCACCAGATTCCCGATCTCCCTGCTTCCCTCGCAGCCGCTGGAGATCTTCCCCGAGGAGTGAGAGGCGCTCCACCTGATGCAGGAGGTCTCCCAGGCCCGGGTGCTTGGCTGCCATCGCCGCCTCCTGCTGGGCAACCTCGGGCTGTGCGCAACCGCCAGGGACGTCGGTCAGGGTCAGAGTCAAAGCCATGGTGAACAGCAACCAAGGGGCAGGCATCTTGGAGGCGTCTGGTGAACAGTCAAAGCCATGGTGAACAGCAAACAAGGGGCAGGGGCGGAATAAGTGCGCCGTGTCCCCCTCCCATTCCGCCCCGCCTCCCAGCCCGCTCCATCACCCCCTTTTCTGTCCCAACAGGTCCCCGAGGCCAGAGTAAACCGTTTAAACACTCTCCCGGGAGCAGGACCACCTGCCACCTTGGGGCGGTTCGTGGGCAGCAGGAGGATGTATCTGCCTCCGGTTATAGGCATCCACACCCACAGAGATGCGCAGCGCGCCTGCTGGCTCCCAGTTCTGCCAGCATGAGCCAGGAGGCGGTGGGGAGCCCCGTCTCCACCACCACTGCTCAGTGATCTACGGAGCTGGGGCAGCCAGTCCTGGGGCATACTGGCCAGGACCGCAGCGCCAGCCCGACGGCCAGGATGCTCATTGCCTCGTCGGAGGCTAAGATTCTCCCCGAGGTTCCCAGCGCAACATTCTTATCCCAATATTCCTTCGCCAACGTTCTAATTACAACGCTAAGATCCTATTTCTAATACTAAGATTCTATGGCTAAGCTAGGAATCGAATTCTAACGCTAAGGTCCTAATTTCATAGTTAATTCCAACGCTAAAATTCTGCTTCTAGCGCTGAGACTGAGATTCTAGGGCTAAATTCGATTCCAACGCGAAAATTCTGTTTTTAACGTCGGTATTCGGATTCTAACTCCCAGGCTCTCACGCGGACGCTGACTGCCTATTTGTGCCGCAGCGTCCCGGCACCTACCTGCAGCTGGCAGCCAGGTAGGGGTGGGGTTGCAAATCTTCCGCCCGACGTCCAGATGTCAGGACCTGAGTGCACAGGAGTGACCCTCACCAGTGTGCCCGCGCCACAAAAGACCCTGGGGGTACGAACGCAGCATCCCACCTTTGCACAGATGCCGTGGTTTCTCCCCGGGCATACCCGAGGGCGGGCGGAAAGGAACCCCTTGTCCGGACGCCGCCTGTGGAGGAGGTGAGAGGGACAAAGGTGGTTACCTGACCAGCGCAAGCTCCACGGGACCGGTCCGGGATCCTGGGGCTGTGAGTCCGGAGTTTCAGGAGGCGGTGGGTCAGGAGCCCCGGAGAGCTCGCAGGAACCCTGACGCTAGCTGCCCACTGCTCTGCCCCACCGCTGCTTATATCTGTGCGAGGCAGCGGCGCGAGTGAGGTCAGCGGGGAGGGGTCGAGGCCGCCGGGAAGGGACGCTGACGGCAGCGGTCCCCGTGGGTACTCAGCCCGCCGCCTGCCAGCTCTGCCGGAAACCTGGGGCGGGGGCGGCTGGGCGGGAGGGGAAACCAGCAGACACAAGCCGCAGGATGGGGTACTACTGGTGCGGGGCCATTTCTGCACCCAGTTCCAAAAGTCTGTTGTCTAAGAGAACACTCGTGCAGGGGACAAAGAGAGACAGAGACACACAGAATCTCACAATTAAAAAGAGATACATAGGAGAAAATAAGAGAGGGATAAAGACTGAGAGATCCGTCGTACAGAGAGAAACAGAGAGATACAGAGCAGACACACACCAAAGAGACAGAAAGACAGAGACAGAAAGAGAGGAAGAGGAAAGGGAGAGAGGGAGAAATTAAGGGACAAGTGGGACCTGGGCTCTGATCTTGACTGTCACCTCTGGCAAATGCCTCCCACTCTCTGGGCCTCAGTTTTCTCATCTATACAGTGTGGGAAGGGGAGTTTTCAGAATGCAGAAACTAGTAGCCTGTGAGCCACCACCACTTTACAGACTGTTTTGTGCGACTCCCACAGTTTCTTGAAAAAACCTGAATGACCAACATTGAAAAATCAGGAGAAATCAGGAAAAGTGTGGACTTATGGCTTCTTGAAAAAGAATGAACCTACATTTCCTCCTGACAACAGCCAGCTGGAGTGGAGCCTGGCTACCCTTGGTCACCACACTCTCCACCACTCCCTACTGTCTTCCAGTGTGTTGCCCTAGTCACCAAGAAGGAACATTGGAGTTTATGACCCCTGGACCTGTTAGGGAGTACCCCACCCAAGCAAGGGAGGGGAGTGGATGAAGGAAGGAGATTGTTCCCCAAGGAGCTTGTCTCTCAATCACTCCCCAAAGTCACATGATACCTTGGAAAAGAACGCTGCCACCTCGAGTCCTGGGCATAGCCTCCATCCTGAAGCATTTAATGGGCCAGGCTCCTTTGTCAGTCCTGGAGACACAGAGATTAGCCATGCCCACTTAGAGGGAACCATATTTTACTAAGAGGGAACAATATTAACGAAGGCATCTCCTACCTCTGGACAGTCCCAACATTATTCCACATTCACTATTTCTTCGGCCTAAATCTTTAACTGAGTATTTGTTGTGTGTCCCAGACCATGCTAGGTCTGGCAAGGGATTCCAAAAGTGTTCAATTATTACTTCTTCTTTTGGCAAGCACCCAACCTTTCTGGCATGTCCACCATCTCATTACATCCTCACATCACCCCTCAAGATAAACAAAATAGAGACTACTAGTCCCACTTTACAGATAGGGGTACAGAGGCCTGGGGAGGCAGAAGGACTTTGAAGGTTAGAGGTAGAAGAGAACTTTCAGATCATCAGCTAAAGAGTCCTCTCCTCATTTTTAGATGAAGAAACTGAGGCCTGGAGTGATGGCCTGATAGGCTTTCCGACTCTCGGGCATACTTGGTGCCCTCCCAAGGTCAGATGGTTGGCTGAAGTAGACTGCAAATCTGATTCCCCAGGCTTGATCCCCTAGCCAGATTCCAGGATTTGAAGACTTGCTAAGCATTTCAAATCCTAGCTAAGCATTTCATCAGACAGACACACCTGTTATCTTTCTTAGAGAATGGTGGAGTTGTAAATTGATACAGCCTCTTTGGATGGCAACCTGAAAATTTAACACATATGTACCTTCCACAAGACAATTCGTTTCTCAGAATTCCTCCTACAAACACCCATACCTGTGCATGAGGATGTGTACATAGGGTATTCAGTGCAGCGTGGTGTTACAAGCCAGAACTGGAAACAGCCTGGGTGTCTGCTCACCAGGAAGTGTCTGCTTAATCAACTAGGGCTCATGCAAAACTATGGGGTACTCCTCCAGCTTTAGAAGAATGAGGCAGTTCCATATGTATAGATGTGGAACAGCTCCAGGATATATTTTTAAGTGAGAAGAGTAGAGTGAAGAACAATGTGTGCATCAGGTACATCTGTGGTGGTGTGGGAGATGGACTGGTATGCTCTTATGCAGACTTTCTGTTGGGATGCACAAATCCAGTGAAAAAGGGGAACAGAGGAGCCCAGACAGGGGTGGACAGTGCGGGGGTGTTGCTTAATGCTGTTTGAATTTTTTCTCTGTGCAGCATGACTTATCCACAAACCAAAAACAGCACCAGAAAACAAAGCAACAACAAAGTCTTGTTTGAGTCTGAGGCTCAGAAGGAACGATAAGTGTGGATGGATAGGAAAGCTGCCTGGCGGACAGTGAGATGGCTGAAACATTGCCCCCTGGTGAGCCCATTTGGTGCATCTCTATAATCAGTGATTTAATCAGAGCGTTGTCTATTAGGAGGAGAGTTCCTGGATGGCTGAGGAAAGGGGAAGGGAGTTTTCACGTAGCTCAAGGGACCAGAGAGGATGGTACAGGCATCCAAAGAGTCCTCAGTGTGCCAACTCTCTCCCTCCCTCCCTTCCTCCTTTCTCTCTTCTTCCCTCTCTTCTTTCCTTCTTTCCTTCTGCAAATACTCACTGATTTCCTAGTAGTGTCCAGGACCTGTTTTAGACCTCGGCCACTATATTAACCATTGTTTCTGATGCTTTGACTCCTGGGGTCTTGCTGACTCTGGAGAGACTGTCTCTCCCAGGTTTAGCCATAGTAAAGGACTCTCCTAGGAGCACCTTTCATATGCAAACAAACCAATCCAGAGTCCACACCCCCACCACACTCTGGGCTAATAGCTCCTTGTCCTAATCAGCTAGGGCCAGGTACCAGACAACTAGGGACAAGCCCTATGCCCCAGAGCCCACTGACATTATTCAAACTAGCCAATCCTAAGCTTTCTGACTCTGCCTGGCTTGGTCCTCCCTGCAGAAACCACAGTAAAAGCTCTTGACCACCTCCCTGCCACTCCCTGCTCCCTCTGGCCTCCTCATGGACCCTGTTGCTTCTCTATGTGCCCTACATGGTGTGGCTTGCTCCCTCCTCTTAGGAACTGTAAGTAATAATGGCAGTTATCTCCTGACCAATTGTCCTCACCAGACCTAAATAATAATAAAACCTGCATTTAAAACAGGTAGATGGGAGTCCAGTCATTGTGTTGCATGTATTTTTCTAACTTCTTTTTTTCCCCCTGGTAATACAAATGTGCTTGAGTCTCGAGACTGTAGTTGCTTATCAGATTAATATAGCTATGCTTTTGAAAATGAGTAATGGGATAATTTAATAGCGAGTTTATGCACTGTTTCTAATTCCCAGTGCCCACCTCCACCCCAACACACACACACACACACACACACACACACACACACACACACCTACACACCTTCCTACAGGAGATTTATTGGATTCCTGGGTGGGTTCTGATTGCCCAGACTCAGCCGTCCCTGAGTTCTTTCTCAAAGACTTTTTGTTCCCTGTTCAGAGATATCCCCAAGATATTTTAGGGTCTTTATCAACCCTGAGCTACAGAAGGGCCTGAAGCAGCCCCTCTCAGCTTACTTTTTCATTATTATTATTATTATTTTTGACAGATCCTGCCTCAGATTTATTTGTACAAATAGCACAGGAGGACACGAGCCTCACTCAAACAGATGCGCAGGGGTCACATCAGTCCTTCTGTCCTTACATTGGCAGACAGAGGCCTCTACTCTGGACCTTCATGGGTGCCTGAGCACCTTTGGGAGCCGGAGCTTGAGCTGGAGGTGACACTGCAGCTTTAGCCATGGCCAGAGCCTTGGTTTGAGCTTTGGCCCTGGACTTTGGCTGGAAGAGCCTGAGACTCTTGGCGATACAGGCACGAGCACGTTTCCCAAGCTTGGGGTGAGTGATGTCGGCAAGTCAGCTGAGCTTGTGGTCTTGGGCTTAACCTCCTTGGGCTTGACGAGGGCCTTTAACAGCCTCAGCCCGTGCACTTATAGCCTTGCCATGGTTGGCTTGCATCTTCTTCAGGCCCTTCTTGTTGTGCTTCTTGGCAAAGCGCATGTTCCTCAGGAACTTGGGGTCCACCCTCTTAAGAGATGTGTATCTTGGTGATTGGGATTTCTTTTTTTTTTTTTTTTAAGATTTTTTTGGGGAATTGGGGAAGGGGAACAGCACTGGGGAATCGGGAAGGGGAACAGAAAAGTTGCTGTCCTTTTTGTTCTTCAGTTTAGTTGTGGAGGACATCGCTTCACTGGCTTATGTTGGTATTATTATTGAGCTCTTCCCGGGTGAGGCAGATCGGTCGCCTGCCATCAGACGGCTGCTCACGGAGGCTCTTGGCAGCTCACGCTGGCTGCCAGCTGCTCACACAGGCTGACAGCCACTCATGGTAGCTTACAGCAGCCTCACTGCAGCAAGGGCTGCAGCCTACGCCGTCACCGGCCACTCACGGCAGCCCAGCTCCAGGACGAGCTGTTGTTCAGCATCTTAGCTATAGAGAGCACAGTGTCACTGGCCCTCATATGTGGGATCTGAACTCTGGCCTGCTGCTCAGAGGTGGTGTCCCAAGCCAACACTTAACCAACGCGCCACTCGACTGGCCTGATGATCGGGATTTTTTTATGCTGTTTCTGTGCTATTTTCAAGACAGGTTGTGTGTGGTGTGGTTTTTGGACTTGGCCATGTCTGCCCTGAAGCTCCTGAAACGCCTGGGACCAGAAGAGAAAGAGACCTTTCAATATTTTATGGGGTTTTTTTTATTATTAAACTTTTTATTTTGAGATAATTGTAGTTTCACATGCAGTTGTAAGACATAATATGAAGAGATTGTGGATTCCCTTCACCCAGCTTCTCCTGATGGTTACATCCTATTAAACGATTAGAGGACAGTAACACAACCAGGATATTGACATTGATAAGATCCTCTGATCTTATTCAGATTTCCCCAGTTTTACTTGTACTCATTCGTGTGTGTATGTGTGCGCGTGTGTTTGCGTGCGCGTGAGCGTGTGCAGTTAGTTCTGTGCAACTTTATCACATGTAGGTTTGTGTATCCACCACATGGTGGCTTTTAATTATAGAAAATAGTACCTTTTATATATTCAATTTTTTCCTTTATAGTCTGCTTTTACTGTCAAAATAATGAAGGTCTCTTCTTCCCCAAGATCACAAAATTATCTCAGAAATTCCAGGAAGATGAGTCCATTTAGTATCTGCTCTTTCTCCATAAAAACCTGCTTCAGAAATCTCTCTACTCTAGATTCCCCCTTCTCCATTCCATTGGAGAGTCCATAACTTTACTGATGCTGAATCTACTAGAAACTTTTCGGTTCTCATTTCAATCACTGATTTATCTTTTTATTCAACAAGTATTTCCAGTATATGCTCAGGTGTCAGGCATGGATCTAGGCCCAGGGCACAACATGGGTGTGGGTTGGGGGTGGGGTTATACAAGATAAGAGAAAGGTGGGAAGGGGCCAGATCTCATGGGGCCTTGTTGGCCATGGAGAGTAAGGACTTTGGATTTTATTCTCAAGGCAATAGGAACATAGAGGGTTTAAAGCAGGGGAGAGATGTGATCTGACTGATTCCCTCAGGCCAGCCTGTGGCTGCTTGGTGAATTATAAGTGTACAAGGACAAGAGGGAAACAGCCAGTGAAGCGAGGAGCTTCCAGGAAACCCTCGCTCCTGCCTCCCTCACCCTGCTCTGTTTACCTCTCCTCTAGGGCTCTCCTGCTCTGCCTGCCTCCAAAATAACTGTGCACCACTGGGCTCAGTGTGCTGTCTGTTCTCACCATGCACCTTCCCCAGGCCTTGTCCCCTGCACTGCACCTGACCACATGCGGGCGCTCCCCAATCAACTTCTCCACAGAAAACGACAGTCCTCAGGAAGAAAGAGCTGCCTCCTAGAGTGATCCCCTGTACCAGCTGCAAGTGGAAGAAAACACAACCCAAACTGGCATAAGCAAAATAAAAGATGGATGTAATGATGCATGTAACCAACAATATAAACACCTACGACGAGCTACAGATATGGCAGAATCCAGAGGCTCGAATGGTGTCATGAGGAGTCTGTCCCTTTTCTCCATTTGTTATCTCAACTTTCCTCTAGACGGCTTCACTCTCAGACTGACTGTCCTCAAAGGTAAAGAAGCTGCCACAGGCAACCCAGGATGGCATTTTCCCAGCTGAGTTACCCTCCAAGCAAGAGTCTTTCTGTTTCCCTCAAATCCCAGGGTCAGTTCACCTTGGCCCAGCCTGGGCATATGCCCATTCCTGAACAGGTCCCTATGATTCAGATTGGCCAACCCTGGGGCCGGGGGTTGGAGCCAGCCCCATCTGAACAGCACAGATTGGAGGGCTTCTCCAAGGGCATATTGGGAAGAGCTGAATGCTGAGCAGGTAAAACACAGGTCTCTTACGTACCCAAGCACGAATGAAGAAACCAAGACTCCGAGGGAGGAAAGGCTTGCCTGCATCTCTCAGTGACTTAGCCACAACCTCAAGACTAGTGCCCTACCCAGTGTCTTTCCTTCACACTGCCCGGGTCAGGGTTTTCTCTAAAGGAACTGGAAGTGACCAAGCTCTGGCTGGCAGACTGAGTTCTACCTTTTATCCCATGTCCCATCCCCACTCAAGGGTCTTGTTCTGGTCTTGGTGGCAGTAAATTGCCATTAAGAGAGAATCATCTTTCCTGAAAACTTTGAGGAAGCCCTTCCCCAAATAACATCAAGCCTCCAAGAAATGACCCTCTAATGGAGGGATTTCAGACACCATGATGGGAAGTGAGTTCTATTTGGGTGCCAAGAGGACTTCTGGCAGCTGCTGCTTTGATTCCATGTAGGCCATCCTTTGTCACTGTCCAGCTGCCAGCAAAGAATTGCTAACTCAGTCCATTTCCTCCAGGACCCTTCAATTCCATACACTTATTAAGTGCCAGCTGCATGTAGGCATTGTAATAGGTGTTAGGGAATACGGGGGAGGGCAAACCTTGCATGGCTCCCTGTAGCTTGTAAGATCAAATCCTTAGCCTGGCCCTTTATATATATTCAAGACCCTTTATAATCTAGGCTCCTTTTCTGACAGCTCTCCCCTGACTCAATGTATAGGTACCCCTGAACATCAATCAATGAAACCCATTTTACAAGCATTCTGTGCAATTCTACATGTCCATGTTTTTACTCCTCTCCTTACCCCTTGCCACCTGTGGGCCACTTATTCTTTAGAGCCTACTACAAATACCCATTCATTCACTCATCAATCCTTTCATTTGTTCATTTAATAAACATTTCCTGAGCAGGACATGTGTTGAGTTTTAGGGTCACTGAACGGATCCAGACAGAAACACTGTTCTGAAGATGTTAGCAGTCTGGGAGAGGAGAAGGATGTGTCTACATAAATTGCATTATAGTGTGCTATGTATTCAAAGGGGTCATAGATTTAGCTGGTAGGGTCAGGGATGGCTTGTTGGACGAGTCTTGGAGTTGCTTTGGATGAAAGGGCATGTCAGAAGGCTTTCTCTGACCTGGCTGGAATAGGCGCCTATCACACTTTCTCTTCCTTCCCAGCCTTTATCATTAGCTGCAATTGGGTAATTCCTTCTTTCTTGTTCATTATATGCCTTCCAGACCAGAACCTCGGCTTTATGGGGACAGCTTCTTGTTCCCTGCTGTTTATCCAGTTCCTGGCACTTAGCTGGCACTCAGTAAAGAGTTGTTGAATGAATGACTACATGAATAAATGCATTCAGCTTAGAGAAAATGAGCACAAGGTGCCTGGTCTTGTCTTTGGAGGTGAGAAGGCACAAGGTAGCCTCCATCTAGCAACAATGGACACACATGAGAGACTCAAAATACTTACCATAAAGAGGAATAGACAAACTGGGGAGCAGTCTTAAAGGTGCACAAGGAGAGTCCTGAAGGCCAGAGCAATCAGGGAAATCTTCCTGGAGGCAGCGGGGCTATCGGAACCAGCCGATATGTCGAACAGTCCTGAGGGGGGGCACGAGGATTAAG